ATATATATATATATATATATATATATATATATATATATAGTTAAATGGAAGCGACTTTGGATCCTGGCCTGGCATTGATTGACTTGAAATACATAAGATGCAAAAGGGTAATAATATCAAATGTAGTTTGCGCTTGATCCTCGTGGGCCATGGGATCAACAACCGAAGAAGGGATCACTTCCTTCGGAAGAAAGCTTTCTCCCCAGCAATGCCAGCCGAAGTCAATCGCAGCATTTAAAAAAGAAATCGAATCTAGTCGCTTGTTGTGGTTTCCAATTCCAATCCAACGGAATCGAGAGCTGACTTGATTTGAAGGCGTTCTCTTTTGTCCCTGCTTTAGAGGATCTAGCTTTCAAGCAAGAACCTGTATTACCCCACTTCATCTTCGAAAGGAATCACTTTTTCGGAGTGGGTGGGAAACCATTTCCCCTACTAAATGCTAACATTCATATTGTGCTAAATGCACAGTGCTCAAATGCGTATTATGCTAAAGGGACAGTGCTCAAATGCACTAAATGCTAAAATTCATATTGTGCTAAAATGGACAGTGCTCAAATGAACATGCTAACATGCATATTGGGCTAAATGCACTAAATGCTCAAATGCATATTATGCTAAATGGACAGTGCTCAAATGCACTCCATGCTAAAATGAATATTGTGCTAAATGGACAGTGCTCAAATGCACGAAGTGCTCAAATGCATATTATGGTAAATGGACAGTGCTCAAATGCACATGCTAACATGCATATTGTGCTAAATGCACCAATGCTCAAATGCATATTATGCTAAATGGACAGTGCTCAAATGCACTCAATGCTAACATGCATATTGTGCTAAATGCACCAATGCTCAAATGCATATTATGCTAAATGGACAGTGCTCAAATGCACTCAATGCTAACATGCATATTGTGCTAAATGCACCAAATGCTCAAATGCATATTATGCTAAATGGACAGTGCTCAAATGCACGAAATGTTCAAATGCATAATGTGCTAAATGGACAGTGCTCAAATGCACATGCTAACATGCATATTGTGCTAAATGCACTAAATGCTGAAATGCATATTGTGCTAAATGGTCAGTGCTCAAATGCACTCCATGCTCAAATGAATATTGTGCTAAATGCATAGTGCTCAAATGCACGAAATACTCAAATGAATATTGTGCTAAATGCATAGTGCTCAAATGCACTCCATGCTGAAATGAATATTGTGCTAAATGGTCAGTGCTCAAATGCACTAAATGCCAAAATGCATATTGTGCTAAATGCATAGTGCTCAAAAGCATATTGTCCGAAAT